GTGGCCGCCGTTGCCTTCCGCACGGCCGGCCCCCGGACCGCCATCGCCTGAGTGGCCGCCGTTGCCTTCCGCACGGCCGGCCCCCTGAACTGTGGCCACGTCGCCGCCGTTGCAGTCCGCACGGTCGGCCCCCTGAACTGTTTTTGGTCTTAATCCTCACAATCCATTCCTTTGCAGGGTTCCAGTAATTGTTTTCTTTAAATCTACAATTCTTGACTTGGTCAAGTCATTGTGTCCTGACAATTGTTCTGGGTCTTTAGACAAATCTCACACTTTTTTTTTCATACTCTTTGAAATCTTTCACTTCCTACCTCTGCCAGGCCTGTATCCTGCTAAAAAGTATACTAACAGAAAGTATCTGACTTGACACAAGAATAAAGCAAAAATATTAGTAACAATCTGTGAATCTGCATCCAATAAGACCCAAGCCTGTGCTGCAGAAAAGCATCATAAGAACAGTTTAAAAACAGTTTAAAATACTTAAGAAAAAGGGAAGGCAGAAGAAGACACCAAACGATGATACTAGCTGGCCATGTTACACACGTCAGTGTGAAACCATTCTGAGCCATAAGTGTGTTCATTCTTTGAACAGAAACAGCTATTTGCTTATTTCTTTGTTATTGGTGTTTAAATTCATTTTAATCTGCAGATTTAAAAAAAACAACAAAAAACTTTAAAGTTGTGTTTTTTGGACATTTCATGCCTTGTTAGGTCTCTGGCTCCACTTGGTTTCACTAATGGCCTCACCACACTAATAACATACTATATTTTGCATACTATACAATGAAAGTGGTACTGTTTTTGCCATTTTATTTGTCAAATCTGTAATATTTTTTTTTATGTTTTTATTCCTTTCTTTGCACCTCCCTTTTTTCAATTTTTTTCTTTTTTGTTTATTTTCTTTGTTCCAAACACTTCTGGACTTGTAAGTTTGGGAAAGATTCATTTTGTGATTCTCTGGCAAAGAAAATAATGAAAGCATAAACTTTCCTTCATTTTCTCCTCAATCTTCAGGGCTCCAAGCCCCGCTGGAAGAACCACTGGTGCCGAGGACTATTTATTCTTGGCTCGGCTGATAATCACATTCATTCTTGACCACTTGACTTGTGATTAAGCAATAAAGCCTTTTGCGCAACTCCCTCCTGTACCATCCTCTCCTCCCTGCCTGTCTTCAGCGATTGTTTGCCTTTTCTTTCCTATTCCATTGTCTTCCAATGTTCAGTCAGACCACCCAAACAGTAAATCTCATTGAAAAAGAAAAATCCTTGCAATTAAAACAAGCATCAACCAGCAGAAGTTCTTCAGGGGCACTTTTGAAGAGGTGGAGGAGTAGCAGTGGAACTCAGACCAACTTTACATTGAGCATCATTCATTTCATGCAAGCACGAAATCAGTTAAGCAGCGGGCCAGACTCGGTAATAACTGATGAGTCAGGAGAAGCTTGTTAGACTGTCGCCTCTCGGACCACTCATCAGGATGACTGCGTGTTGATGTTTAACGGTGGAGGTATTTGCCGCGCGAGTAAAAAATGCATGTGCCGTGACCGCTTTTGGCACAGCTCGCTCTCTCCTTCTCTCTCCCCTCTGCACATCTATCGACTTTTACAAATAAAGTGTGTGGAAGCAATTTGAGCCTTGTAAACAGAAATGAGACCGGAGTGATGCAGATTTCAAAGGGCCGACAGGAGAGAGCGGGGAGGGCGGGAAGGGAGTCTGCCAGGAAGGATGGATAACGTGTCGTGCCATGTGTGCACATTT